GAATTTTATTTTTAATCGAAAAGAGGTTCGAATAGGCCAAAAAATTTTGTGTGGAACATTTCAGCTAGCATCTTTGAAATGAAAATAACCAAATCACATACAGACGCACATCTCAGAGCCATTCATAATTTAGATTCAAATCAAAATGAAATCATTTTAACAATGTCACAATATCGCTTATAAACAATAAGACAACAAACAGTTAAAATAAAAGAAGAAAATTACAATTAGGGACAATGGAATAACAATGAGAGGGTAGCAGCAAGTGCTGAAGCACAAGACCAGCAACCGAACAACTCCAACACCTGATCACATATTTAAACTGTTCTTAATCAGACTGGAGGTGCCGGTCACGTACTCGTTCGACTTGATGAAGTCATCATCTTCATCGTTCATCTCCTCCAAGAAATCTTCCACAGCCGTCTGGGCCGAGTAATTTTGATGTTTGTCCGCGTAGATCATCCTCTCAACTGTCGCCACTTTGTTACTGGCGTACAACTTCCCATGCCCCAATCCGACGCAGTCCTTCCAATGTATTTTGTTATCTTTAAACGGGCCGACGTAGTAGAGGTAGCTCGGCTTTGCGAAGCTGTAGATCCCGCAATATCCGTGCATGCGATCTTTCTCAAACAATCCTTCGTATATGTCGCCATTTGCGAATTCATACTTGCCCCAGCCGTGCTTCAAATCGTTCTCCCAATCACCGGAATACCGAGAACCGTCGGAATAGCGCATCGTACCGCGTCCGTATCTCCGTCCGTCCATCCATTCGCCAGCGTAGTCGGATCCGTCGTAGAATGCATAACTCCCTCGTCCAGATTTTACTCCCTTCTCGAATTTTCCGATGTACACGTCGCCGTTGGGATACTGCTGAGTGCCGTATCCGTGCGGCCGGAAGTGGTCATCCCTCTCGCCACTGTACACGTTCAGTCCTTTGTTGGTTGGGTGGTTGGTTGGTTTGTTGGATGGTTGGATGGTTGGTTAGTTAGTTGGTTAGTTGGTTGGTTGGTTGGATGGTTGGTTGGCTGGTTGGATGGTTGGCTGGTTGGTTAGTTGGTTGGTTGGTTGGTTGGTTGGTTGGTTGATTGGTTGGAAAAAATACAACTGTTGAAGTTACAGACATTGAATCTATATTACATACTCCAAACACATAAACATTAACGAAATGAGACGAGATCAATAACGAAACGAAACAGATTACAATACTAAAAAAAACCTTTAACGATTTCGTTGAAGGAACTCCAGTGTGTGTGTCTCAAGTCCTCGAGTTTCGGTACAAATGATTCATCTACCACACTTAAAGGTCTAACTGACCTGAATATTAATTATCTTTTATTGTTGGATGTTCTATTAGTTCTATTATTATTCTATAAGAGAAATAGAAATTAATCATATTAAAATATATAATTTATTGCAATTAAGAATTGAAATAACCAGGAAAGGTCGGCGGAATAACTAGAAGCACTCTTCATCTGATAATCCAAATCATTTTTGTCGTACGACGATAGCTTTATCTCGGGCACAACCCCACTGTCTTCGCCAACGCCGGGCAAGTTTATACTTGGAATATCCATAATTTGCGTACAGTATCTTTTTATTCTTATTATTTATTTAATTATTATTACTATTTATTGTTTTTTATTAGTTATTTGAGGATGATTTTGTTAGCTATTGACAGATTAGTCAGTTAGGACAGTTTTAAAATACATCTGCAGAACAAAATGATGCTTGAAACAACTGTGTACTCTATACGTACTGTACTGTATATGTATTTTTATGATGACGAACGTAAATGCATAGATAAATAATAGTCTTGAACAAATATAATAACATAAAAATTGTCAAATAATGACTGCATAATATAAACAATAAGTGAACGAACGGATGAACCAGCGAACAGATAGACGAACGAATGAATGAACGGACGAACGAACGAATGAACGAACGAACAAATAAACAAACTAATGAACAAAAGAATGAATGAACGAACGAACGAGAAATGATATTTTAAAATATTTTATTTGCTTGTAACATTAAGCAAAAACAGAAAAAAAGACTGCGAAACAAAATAAAACCAGATTCAATTAAATGATGAAAAAATTTCGACTAACAACTAATCATCATTATTTCTAATTAATAAACATTCATTTATAATTAATCGTAATAAATTGAATAACCAAGAGAAATTGGTAAGAATAACATAGATACTGACATATTAGCTCAAAGCCTTAAAACATGAACTAACTTTATAACACCAAAACTACGCAACCTTTAAAAGAACTTTTAAATTAATTACTCAATTAAATAATTAAATAACTAATTAATTGATCACATAATTAATTAATTAATTAATTAATTAATAGAAATGATCAATCAAATCTCAAATGTTTTGGCTTACACCTGTAAAAACTTTCAAGAATGTTGAACATCTAATTTTTTTCCTGGCAAAAAATTTTTGAAAATTCGAAAAAATCTCATCCACAAAATGAATTTTCTTGTCACTTTCACAGCAGCAAGGGCTCGCCTGTGCTTTTTCTTCAGACTTGACACAGGGAGCAAGAAGAAAGGTCATCTTTTTCAGAATTTCAAATCGAAAGATGTTTAAAAAAAATTAAATTTTCAATACGACAATCAGAAAGATAGTTTTTAGCAGCAGGTACTACATTGGAGACAGCAAAAACTTAACTATACTACTTTCTGTCAATCAAAGAAATGAGTAAATCTATTACTCTCTCACTCTCTCTCTCTCTCTCTCTCTCTCTCTCTCTCTCTCTCTCTCTCTCTCTCTCTCTCTCTCTTCATTTACATACATTTTTTGTTATATAGGTACATACACAAAACGAAAAAATACAATATCACCAATACACTTACTTAACATAGGTTAAAACGTGCTGATAAGTCAGATGTGTGTGTGTGCGAAAATGAAATTCATGTATAAATGAATGAAATATACGCTAAAGTAATAAATAAACTTACTTCATAATTCAACATAAATTAGCATAAATTAGCATAAATTAGCATGAATTAATATTTAAACAATTAAGAACGGTCATTAATGACAATATTTATCATTTACATTTTATTTAAAGACATACATTTGTGTATGCGTGCTACTAAGCTGTTACACTTATTTTGTGTTTGTTTTTTCTGTCAATAGCTGGTTGATTGATTGGTTGATTGATTGATTGGTTGGTTGATTATTTGATTGGTTGAGTGATTGAGTGAGTGATTGATTGAGTGATTGATTGGTTGGTTGGCTGGTCAGTTGATTCACTGGACGACTTTCTGAACGTAAGAGGCTCTTTCCTGTGTTAATATTTCATTCATTATTTTCAAATTTTCAAAAAATGACTCTTGCTTTTATAAAGTTTAATCGCGAAAATAAAATCAACAACAAAAACAAAATTAGTTTTAAGAATTAAACCCCATAAAACCAAAAAAACACCCCTAAAAAAAGATTATAAATAACTATGCATCGATCCGAAACAAACTACTCAAAAATTTCAACCCCAAACAAGAAGCAAAAAACCCCGGCAAAAAAAACAAACAACATCAATGCGTAAATATCAACCTATATAAAATATCACCCACAAAAAACCGGAAATAGTTCCCAAAAAAAGATCATAAAAAACCTCTCCATTCGGGGCAATCAGTTTGGTCACAACGTTGTCGGCCACACCCCAGCTGGTTAGTTCAGACTCAATGTCGGAGTATAAGGCAGTGGAGGGTTTCGAACCCAGGCTCCAGATCTTAGGTTGTTGTTATTATTATTATTATTATTCTTATTATTATTTATATCATATTCAATATATTGCGATAGGAGTATTGTATGAACCTTTCTTTTCTAAACTAACATTCTCTATTAGTACCCATTTGTATAAAGTGATGAGCGAAGTAGACTGCTGATTTCAATAATTTCATTATTATTATAATATTTTTGATTTCAACATATCATCATTATTATTTTAAATTAATTTCATTATATTGATTATTGCCATTATAGATGTTATTTGATTGAATAAAAGCAGTGCTTCCATTATTATTAATAAGATTTTTTTTCAAGTTCACACGCCCCACCCTGATAGTAGTGTTAGGCTTGATGAAGACGTTCGGTTGGAGAACATACTCCAAGCTTTCTACATCGCTCAGAATCCTCTTCACCGTCCACTGTCCGATGTTTTCCTCCTATCATCATCGTCATCATCATCATCACCATCATTATTATTATTATTATTATTATTATTATTATTATCTTTATTATTATTGTCAAACAAATGACGCCGTGTTGAAAGTCTCTGGCTGCATTATACTGTATTGTATTAGATTGTATTGTATTATATTGTATTGTATATTGTATTGTATTGTATATTGTATTGTATCGCATTGCATTGCATTGTATTGTATTTTATTGTATATTGTATTGTATTGTATTGAATACCTACTCAAATGTATGAACAGCAAAGACATCAAAAGCACCTTTCTTCCGGTATTCTCCAGAACGACAAAGGTGCCATTCATGGCCGCATCTGCAATCCCGCAAGGCCCTTTGGAGTTTCTTTGGTAAGAATATTTCGGCTGGCCGGATCTCGCTGCTGCTGATGAGGACGACGACGACGATGATGTCGGTGATGATAGTGATGATGATGGTTTTAGTAAAGATGATGATGGTGGTATTAGTAAAGATGATGATGGTGATGATGGTTGTAGTAAAGATGATGATGGTGATGATCATTTTAGTAAAAATGATGATCGTGATGATGACGGTGCTAAAAATAACTAAGCAAGTTACTTTAAGATACTCAAACTAACTAACTAACCTTTGCTACTTTGTTCATTCTTGTAGAAGCTACCGCCGTAACCGCTACTACTGCTACTACCACCACCGCTACTACTACTAGCACCGCTACTACTACTATTACTGCTGAAACTACTACCACTTCTGTTAATGGTAGTGGTAGTAGTAGTTGAAGATGATGATGATTCTTTGTATGGTTTTGGCG